TTATGTTTGTGATGTCCAACTACAAAGTCTATAGTTTCTTATGAATCAGATACTGAAATTACCAATATTGACAACCTAGAATATAAGATAAGAACCTCCTATCTTTTCTATTTTAATATATTTATTGAATTAACCAAGGTGGCCTCACCCACCTCTTCCATTTTTTAAAATACTTGCTTCTGTACACCTACTTCACCCACTGACCTGTGTATAACCATTCAAAAGCTCAGAATGTCCCCCCTAATGGTTTTTTCAGCCTCTGCAAAGTATTTGCACAAGAAACTCTTTCTCTTCATGCTAGATCCCAAGCAGTATAGTAAAATATTAGCGAGCCCAAAAAATAATATATTTTAAGACCCAAATACAGCTTTAGTTACTATGCTGGATAAGTTATAGTGAAATTCTGTGGTACTGATATAATAATATATGATTTTTTGTTATTTCAAAATGTATATATAAAACCTAAAAAAATAATTTTGTTTTACATCCTCCATATGCAAAATTTGATACGGCTTTACAACTTATGGCAAGCAGCAAGTGAGTGCAAAGTTCATAACTAGCAGAGATAATTGTTTATAAATATACTTAATATAAATAGTAATAATGTACTTGTATAATGTATTATAACTGATATGTGACTGTATTTTCCAAAATACTGGCCCACTAGAACACAACCAAGACAGATCACTTAGTAAATGCCAGTTTTAAATTTTTTGACATAGTAACATGAGTGTACGTGCACTGCATCACTGCAATTTCTGTAATGTTATAATCTGTAGTCCTTCTAGAACCAAAAAAAGCATAATTTATATCTTTTTTACTAATTTTTTATGGTGGTTATTGGGTCGGTCAAATCAACTAAACCCATACAGAAATACAATAGTGAAAATTACAAATAAAATTTAAAGTCTTTTTTTCTAAAAAAAAAGTTTAGTAATGATCTGGAGGTTATAAAGATTTTGCATGTGAAATTTTAAAATTTTCTGATGCATAAATGTATTTTTAATCTTAAAATCAAAATTACTTTGGACAGTAAACATTTGAAAAGAAAAAAGGGCATGAGAAAAACATTACTTAAAAAATCCTGAACTTATAAAACAAAATCTGATATTTTGCATACAAAAGCTTTGTAATGTTTACTGATAATCTGCAAAATTTTGTGAAGATATGATTACTGTATTAAAAGTTATAGCATGAAAACTATAACAAGCACAAAATGGTTACTAGTGCAGTTCCAAGGACAGAGCCTGTAATGAAAGAGTTAAGAGTGCCATACTAATCACGTCTTTGATCTTCGATTGTATGTAGGAAATATTGTTTCACAATGTATAACTCATATACATTCTTGTTCTTTATGTCAAATTCAGTTAAGAGCTGTAGAATTAGGATTTTTCTCTGCAATACAAATGATCTTTAATTACAGTAAGTGCAAGTTAATAATGCAATATATATGGGTACCCACTGAACATTATGACTGAAGAAAAGGATCTTGGAATAGTAGTAGATAAGTCACTCAAGCCACTGAGACAGTGTTCTATTGCCTATATAATTTTAGTGCATATTGATAGAAGCTCAAATAAATAATTATCTCTAAACTCTAGTTAAAACTCATATGGAAATCCATGTACAGTTTTGGTCTTCTTATCTAAGAAAGTATACTAACTTATTGAAAAGCTTTCAGAGGAGAGCTACTAGAATCATTTTAGGAAAGGATTGGTTATCTTATAGGAACAGATTCTTAAAGGTAACTTAATTTATTTTATGATAAAAAGGGTAAGATGGTTATCTCACTGAAGCTTAAAAAGTTATCTGGGATTCCAGTTAGGACAGTTATTTTATATTTTTCAAACAGGGTTATTTGTTTATTGAATGAGTTACTATTTGCAGAAATAGAGGTCAACATTGTGCGAGTTTAGAGATTGTGAAAACCTTAATGTTTTCTGAAAAATAAAGATTGTCTTTGAAGAAATGGCATCAAAAGACTAAATGGTTTCTTGTTGAATGTTACTTTTTTCCACTTCAGCCTTTCTCCTCATGTCACATTATGAAATTTTCTGTGAATCTTAATATTCCCAGCTCTCTAAGAAAATTCTTAAGATTTTCATGAACAGTATGATGGCTTCAAGTCCTTGAGAATGTTTATGCTAACCTGTTTTTTTGACTGTTTGTGCAACTTGTTTATTCTGAAGGAGCAAAACCTAAAATTGATGGGAATAGTGAGAAAGTGTCCATCCAAAAGTAAGTAATTATAATAAATATTAAAAACACGGTAATACCAAAAAAACATTTTTAACATGGATGTTTCGGAATTTCCTTAAATTCCATCATCAGTGTTAATATATAAAAAATATTGATATGAGTTAGGTATTTTTTTTTCCCTTATAAATGTTATTTGGAATAGTTGGTGACATATACTGCATTGGATTCTTGTACATCACACTTTTACATTTTGTCAAACTTTGGCAATGTAAATCAGGTTTCTTCTTGTATTTGTCTTGTACAGATATTTACAAAAATTCTCCTTCACCCCAACAGTCATTAAAAGTCAATGGAGAGTTGTAAGCCAGTCAGTCATTGTGGATAAAGATTTTGTTCTATTTGTTAACTTCTGTCCTTTGCTATCCAAGTTTAAAATTATTTTCTGCATTACATATAGAATCTGTGGATACCTAAAAATTTCTCTGTTAGAGAAAGTGTGAGTGAGTACTACACAAACAAAATACGAGAGTTTCAAAGAAATGGAGAGAGAGAAGAAAAAAAAAAAGGAGGTTAGTGTGTAAGAACACAGAACCAGAGACCAAATCCACCTTGGAAATTGATGTAAGACAGCAAGGATGGATTGATGAAGTGAATTGTGACAGTCCAATTTTGGAAATTTATCAGAAGAGAAATACCTATTCAAAGTATGATCCCAACTTTATTACACTGATATAAGCAATGGATTCTGAAAACTATTTCACATTTTTTCACTATGGCTTTTAATTACTAAAATTTTGTAGCCAAACTTCACATTAGCTTTTTTAAAACAAAATTTAGGATTAATTCCAATTCTATTCAGACCTATTCAAAACAATAATATACCAATCTAATCACCTAAATCATAGCCTAAGCCCAAATCCTATCTAAGCATAAGTACAATATAAACAAATTAACTGTGTTACCCATCCTAAACATAATCTAAACAAATTGATTATAGGTCTCTAAAACTCCTATATTATTGGAAACCCAAAACAAAAGGGACTGAACAACAGAGACAGAAATTTACAAGTTTGATAGCTTGAGTAGCTATTACAGCAGGAACCTCTTGGTCTAAAGTTCCAAAGCAGGTGGAAATGAGCAAAATCTGAAATAGAAGAGGAATTGACCTCCAAAAAAGTTACACTCAATCTGGTTATCACCTGAAGATTGAAAAGTAAAAGGAACCAAATGGTATATAAGCAAATGTAGCTTTCTACCCACATGTATAGAACTACAGTGGGAGAGCAATGGACTGTTAATGAAGACAAGGAATGACTGGCTCCACATAAAACATAAATAGAAGTTTGGGCAGGTAAAATACAAATATGCTATGACATCTCATAATAAATTGTTTTTAATGTAACATACCAATTATTATTATATACTGACAAATTGGCAGAATAATGAGTGACACAGTGATTAGCTTAGGCATATATGGTAAATTACACATATTTCCAATACACATGTATATATATTTATAATGTAATTTTAAGAACTTATGAGTGAACATAGAAAAGAATAGATAACAATATGTTAACCACACTAAATCTGCTATATTCTGAGACTGACATGTAAATGAGTAGCATATTAAGTTCCAGAGTTGAAAATAAAAAATTGTCCAGCAAAGACATAATAAACACATTATATATTATTGGTGGTTTTGATAATAGCTAAAAACTTGACGCTGGCTGAAAAATGTCAAGAAAACCCATTAAGATGCATGAAGGTAGTAGGCAGTGCAGTGTTCTTCAGATTAAAAACTGCTACTTTTTTTTTAAAGTGATATATCATTACATGAATCTTTCAACCTAAGTTATCACAGCATTATCAGATATTGAAAATTACTGGCAGGGAGATTGGAGAAAGTAACTGAGGTTTACTAACGAAGTGATTCAAACACAGACAAGCTTCACATAATCCTGCACTAAATGGTCTGACAAGTATAATAAAGTTACATACTCTAACCAAGAACAGTGATGAACAAGAACTAGCATTTGGTAAAACAAACAAATTAAACTCAGAAATCTGATGAAAGTGATCACATTTTCAAACAAGCAAAACCTTGTAGTCTTAAGTCCATATATTCTGAAAATTATTATAAGATTTGTTTAGGTTCGGTGGCCATACAGTCAAGATGATTGTTCTTATGATGTATTTAAAGATAAATTCAAACTACTTCTCAGCATGACAGAAACAGAACTGTAGTTAGAAGTAAGCTCAGATTTTCAAAAGTCAACAAAGATTAATAGAAAGTTCACCAATATAGTAAACAATCTAAATCAAATCCATAAATCAGAGAAAGTGAAAGATAAATTGGAGAATTATTTCAATGAAGCCCTTCTTTTTCACTCTTGAAGAGAAATCAGTCAGAACTACAGTTCACAAAACAGCAGATCTAAAATGCACAAACAAAAATTTCATTATGAACAAATTTCCTGTAACTTGTACAAGATACAGAAAACTGTGAGTCTTTCCTTGTTTGTTTACACTACCATGCAGTTTTCTTCACTCTAATCCATGATATTTTAAAAAAATATGTATTATCTAAATTACAACCAACATTTCAATGATAAGTGGACAGACAAAAAGCCAGAAATTCAAACTAATTTTGGATGTCTACTCTATTAGGAAAAACTAAACATTAATATACTGTAAAGAAATTGTGAAGTTTGTTAAAGAAGCTTCTAATAAGCCTAGGTTGTCATAACTTTATAAAAGAACAAAAATTATAATGGTTTGTTGTCACAAATGTAAAATTGTACCTTTATTTGAGCTAACTTAACTTCTGCTTTCTTCTTTAGCTCAGTTAGTTTCATCTGGTTGACCTCAGTCATTTTAGTGAATTCTTCCTCCATTTCTTTCTTTTCTTCTTTTATTTTCTGGATATTTTTCAATGCTACGTCTTTTTCTTGTATTTCAACATCTAGTGTTTTATGCACTTCCTGAAGTTCTTCTTCTAGATTCTTAAATCTCTTTTGCAAAGTTTCATAATTTGCTGTTACTGTTGACAACTTATTCTTAAAATCAATTATCACAGCCTCTTTTTCAGTTAAAGAATGTATTGACATTGAATGACTAGATTCAATTTCTCTTTGAAGTTTAGAAACAGTATCTTTGTAATCATTAGACTGACTTTTGAGGTCTTGTAATTTTTCCTGTAGCACTTGTTCATTATGAACTGACATTTTTAAATTTTCCTTCAGCTTTTCACATTGATCTGTTAGTAATTTCAATTCACTATCTTTCTGGTTTACAGACACAACAAGTTCTTGCAATTCATCACATTTAGAAGCATAGACATCTTCTTTAGCATTCATGGCAAGTCTTGCTTCACTATACTCTTTCTGAATTAATTCATATTTGGATTTAAAGGAGGAAAACTTTTCAATCTCTTGATCTTTAAATACAAGTAATTTATTAAGTTCTGAAATCTTAGCTTGAAAAAGATAATTCTGTCTCTTCTGGTGATTCAGATTTTTTTCAAGATCTTTTAATAGTTCTTCTTTTCTTTGAATCACTGTTGTTTTTTCATCTAACTTACTTTGTAAATGCTGTTGTAATTCATCAAGCTCTGACTGGTGTGTTGCTTTTGATTCTTCCATACATTTTTCCGCATCTGTCAAATTATGTTGCAGATTTTCTAATTCTGCAGAAAGGTTAATGAACTCATTTAATTTTTTTTCCAAATTTTCAATTTCTGTTTTGTGTTTTGCTTCTTGAGCTTCTAATTCTTTTTTGTGGATTTCTTTCATATAACAATTCTGATTTTCATGGTCTTTGATTTGCATCTGAAGATAATCCAAATCATTATTTGCCTTCTTCTGTTGATTTTCATACTTCTTTCTCAAGTTTTCAAGCTCTTTTTCTTTCATACTGATATTATCTTGCATTTGTTTATTGGATTCTTCAAATTGATGGTTTATTATTTGAAAGGATTCAACTGATTCTTTAATTTTTTTATTCCATTCTTCATTAAGATTTTGCACAGTCAATGTTTTTTCTTCATCCAATTTAGCCAACTCTATATGACATTCCTCAATAATTTTCTTAGAGGTTTCAAGCTGAAACTTCATATCACTGATTTCAGCATTTAGCCTGACCACTTCTTCTTTCGCATCTTTTTTTAAGCTATTTGTTTCATCTGTAAGCCTTTCAATAATCAATTTTAAGTTTTCTTTTTCTCTGCAATGCTTGTCAGTTTGTTCCTTCATCTTAGTTTTAAATTCTATTTCTTGCACTTTAATGTTTTCTAGTGCTTGTGTGAGGTCAGTTTTAAGAGTTTCAACTGTTTCTGCTGCTTGCTTTTCCATATCTTTTAACTTTGTATTCAAAGTCTCATTCAGGGATTGTTCATGTTCCTTCCATTGAATTTCATTGCTTTTTAGCTTGTCTTCCAAAATACTTTTTTCATCCTTGAGTATTTTGATTTTATCTTCTTGAGATTCTATTTTTTTTTGGAATTCCTCAATTTTCAAGTTAAGAGATGACAAAGAATCTTGAAGTACAAACACATCTTTTTTACAATAGAGATCTTCCATTAGAATACTGATACCTTCTGTGATTAGATCTAACTTTTCTTTGTAATTCAATTTACCTGAACCTAACTGGTTTAATACTGGATTTGTTATTATCTGAATAGGATCTTCCAAGGTATAATGTAAAAGCTGCCTATAAAATTCTATAAATTTTATTTCAGCTTCATCTTTTGTAGTTTGGAGCTCTTGACATAGATTTGTTACTCGAACTTTAAGCTCACCACTGGAAATTTCTACTTCTCTAATTTTATTCTCATATTCTTCAATACATGTTTTCCACTGCTGAGTTACACTATTGATATTCTTCTCATTCTCATTATTCATTTTGTCTATTCTTTGAGTCCATTCCTCCATAACTGCATGCAATGTTTTTTCATAACTGTCCTGAATTTTTTTTTTGATTCCTGAGCAGAAGCATCAAGATACTGCTTCTCCAATTGTAAATCAATGCATTTGCTTTTTAAGTTAGACAGCTCTTTGGATAATTTAACTGTTTCTTCTTCAAAAGAGCTTCTCAAGACAACAACTTCTTTTTGCAAAATGTCTTTTTCAGTTTTTATACAATTTATACTATTTTCTAAACTTTGAACTTTAAGTACTTTATAATTTTTTCTTTTTTTAAAACAGTCTCAACTTCCTGAAGTGATGTCTTTAAATTTTCAATGTAATTGCTCATGGTTTCCTTCTCTTGAAAAGCTAAGTTCAATTCCTGTTGCAGAGCCTGGCTTTTTTCTTCATAATTTACTTTCTCTATAGACAGCTGGTGCAATGTGGTCTGTACATTATTTAAGTTTTCCTCTGCCATTTTAAGCTTTGTTTCTACAGTCTCTTTCTCAGTTATCAAGCTTTTCTGAGTTTCAGATATCCTTTCTAATTCTGATACACATTTATTCTTTTCTTCTGACAACTCATTGCATTTTACTTCAAAATAATGTTTATCTTTCATGTCTTCCTTAACTACATCTAATTCTTTCTTCAGAGAAACTAGTTTTTCTACAAGAGACCCTTTTTCATCTTCAGAATGTTTCAGCATGTTTCTAAGTTCAACTACTTCATTTTTATATTCTTTTATGTTGAAAGCCATTTCACTATGAAAAGTAGTCTGCTCTTGTACAATGTTTAAGTGTTGGATTAATTCAACCTTCTCTTGTTGAAATGCTTCATGATTATAGTTTAGTGAACTAAGGCTGGATGATTTATCACCACAAAGTTTTTGCAGTCCATACTTTTCTTGGGATATATTATTTAACTGCTGATTTATCAATTCTAATTTTTGAATCACATTATCTCGTTCTGCTAAAGCTTTTTGAAGAAAGCCTTGGGCTTTTACGAGTTCATTCTGAAGATCTGAATATGTCTGCTGAGCATCTGGTTCTTTTTCATTACTATCATGAATTTCTTTCTCCAAACTTTTTAAATTTTCAACTTTAGAATCCCTTTGTATACAGCTGTCTTGGAGAGAATACACCTGCTGTATATAATGTGCATTTTTATAGGTTTCTTCTACATTACCAGTAGAATCCTGAAAGAAAATTGTTTTGATTTAATGAACCAGATGTACAAAAGAATTATAATAATTTTTTAAATGTAAGTGTATAAAAAGTAAAAAACAACAATAAGAAACTGACAATTAATATGTGTATTATTAATTTTCATACTCTTGATTACGCTATATGGAATATGTAATAGATTTTGTACATCGTAATCTAAAATAGAAAAAACGTTTTTTTTTCCATTTTACAGAGTATTTACAAAATGGACAATGACAATAATATATAATAATTCACATTCTTTAAATTTGAGATGCTAATTCCTATAAAATGACCACATTCCTGTTGCAAAGCCTGGCTTTTTTCTTATAATTTACTTTCTCTATAGACTATTTCTTTTTGCAAACTTTCTAAGTTTCCAACTTTAGAATCCTTCTGTTTACAGCTGCCTTGGAGAAAATACATCTCCTAATCCAACTGCTGATTTACTATTCTGAAAAATAGTCTGCTCTTATAGAATGTTTTATTGCTGGAGCAATTTCAACTATAGTTTATGATGTTCATTATTATTGGTTTCTCATCAACTGCTATACCATACATAGTAGATGGCAAAAGTTTCAATAAATATTCTGTGTGTGATTACTAAAGTTCAAAAGATACATACTTGATTACAACTAATTATTATACCTGTATCTTAATAAAAATAACCCAAACATGAAACATTTAATAAATTCTAACAAATAACTACTTCAAATTGGTGATGAAGTCTTGCAGACAAGTTTATAGCATATAAGTTATTTCAAACTCAAGCAAACTTATAAAGAGCAAAAAACAAAAATAACTCACTTCACCAGCCACCTGAGTTTTAGGGATATCCCTTTTTTCTTCATTTCTACCTAATTTTTCTTTAAGTACTGTCTGCTGGTTATCTCCAAGCTTAAGAATAGCAATACACTCCAGGTGACTTTGTTTGATTTTTTCTAGCTCTCTCTGGTAACATTTGGCCTGCTCTTTAAGTTGGTCCTGCAGTGAGGTAACTTGACTATCTAGTTCCATTTTTTTCTATCAAAAACATGGAACTTTACATTAATTGTATTATGTAAATGTTTCTGTATGAGTAACAACTAAATTATTGAAACAAAGTTGTTAATAATATTCAGTATGATTTTCAAGTATTTTCTTCTATATATCAAGCAACTAATGACATTTACAAAGTTGCAAATATCACTTAAAAAAAGGAGAAAACATAACATTTAAAGACACTGCAAAAAACACAACAAATCTGAAGTTGAGGTTTTTTAGTTTAACACATTAACTTTTATAAACAATTCACAATTACTGTCTCAAATTCAGTTTTATGTACAGGTGGCAAGGTTATGCAAAATAATGTTTCAAAAAATCTTGGGCAATTATTATTAAAGACTTATAATCAGAGATTAAGTCTATAAATATATATATATATATATAT